ATTTATTGTCACGTGACATAGAACTTCGGCCAGCTGGCTGGACTGAGATTTTCAATTCGAGCTGATGTCTGCATACACGTCACAGTTCTTACCTTGTAAATAATCTGCTTTTGTATTTAACCGTGTAAATACACTTTTGACGTAGCTAATTTTAGGTTTTATAATGGAATTATATAGATTTGCCGTAAGATTTCCAGCATGAGTCTGAAAGCGTGAGTGTCATGCCAGATGCTTGAGATTTGGCAACCCTGAAAACGTACATTTTTTGTTTCACATGAGTTTATTTATATAACAGATAACATTACTTTATACATATGTTAAAATGCAGAAACTTCAACGAACATGAAATCAACAATACATCTATTTATCCAACGTGTATATACTGTACATATTGAATTTGAAAACTTTTCAGCTTTATGNTGTACATATTGAATTTGAAAACTTTTCAGCTTTATGATTTCAGGAGAGCGCAGCCACTCTGTTAGGAACATTACGCTTTTTGTTTGCGGGTGTTTTAGCTTCGCTGCTGCTATTAACACGAAAGGCACATTGGCGCAGACAAAGGGCTGCATACGCCGAGCTATACGTCTTGCTTGGCGTTTGACGTTCATTGGCGTAGGAAACGGCGGTTCTACTGCTAAACCACTACCAAAAAGACTACAAACGCTGCGCCGGTTAAAATAAAAGCGCCCCATCAGGTTTTAAATAATAACTAAATGTTTTGGCTGTCGGTCCGGGTCCGTATGGGACAGCTTCTGGGTCCGGACCCGGACCGCGGTCCGCCTGTTAGTGACCGCTGTCCTATGGTGTCTTAGACTACATTTGAAGAAGCTGATTAAACTTTAAAAGTGACTAGTGATGCTTTGTGCTTCTCAAAAACATAAATAATAGGAGGCTGTTTCTTATTGAATCACAATCTATCCAAATATATTCCTCAATCCACGGTACACAGTTATGCTTAGATTCTGGTATCTGATTTTGTAAATTGAAGACTGTCTCCCCCTTTTGGTGAGATTGCCTACAGCTTCTATGGATAATTGTTTTCCAACCCGGTCCTCGGGCAACCCCAGACAGTCCTCGTGATTGCTCCCCCCAGCTGCCGGTGGGCTGTCAGGGGGTCACCGAGGACTGTATTTGGAAACACTACTATAGGTTATAAAACAGGTCAATGCTTTAAGTTACTTAGAAAGTGGACCCATATGATATAAATGGGTCCTGAAGGGTATTGATCTTGTACTTCCAGAAATGTGAATGTAAGTAGTTTAGTTTATTTCCAGTAGAAATGGTGAATTATTTTGCGATGGTTCCATATTTTGATGCAGTAATCATATATATGGCATATTATTATCTAAAGAACGTAACGAAGAATAAAAAACGCAAGGTGACTTAGTCAGAAATTTGTATTTTTACGCACTCATTCATCCTCATTCATGCCATTATAATCTTCGGCGAAAATCCGTTAGCGTGTTTCAGAAATGAATACCTAGTCTTTCAAAAACATGTATGTCTTTAAATTGAAATTCTAATGCACTACCTGAACAAGTACACGTTTCATTTTTGTTTAAGAACCCAGGCAGTCCTAAAAAAAAATTAATCTTTGTCTGTTAAACATAGCCTACTTCTTTAATTTTTCTCCCTCACTTATGTTTGTATTCTTCCAATTTTTTTTTTTTTTTTTAGAAATTTTGTGACTTTTTCAAAGAATAAGAGAAGTATAACCTAAATGCCGTAGAAGTGTCTTTTTCCTTACACCCATATGACACATACATGCAATACCAGAGGTAGACACGAGGGGGCAGCAAATGTCCATATTTCTACTTCTCAGTACTGGGTATTCAATATACTCGCCTCAGAGATTGTTTCATAGTGCCTCCTTTTTTAATTGCAATATGTCTATTTTAATTTAAAAGAAATCTTACACGGTTTTGAACGATCGCGATACTACTCTGTACTGTATTGTATTTACATAGAATTTACATTGCATAGGTAAAATTCTGTAATCTAGGCATGATTTAAAATATACAAGTTCGGAATATGTGTATATGTAAATAAGAACTTTTATACAAGGGTCTTGAACGTACGCGGTTTTGGAGTTTCGCACAGTATCACGGTGGGTTGTGGAACTTACCGTGTAAGATGCCGGAGCACTGTTCAGTATGTTCAGTATAACAATATAACTCAAAATTTTCCAACAATATCGCTACATGCTTAAGATTGCAATTGAAATCAATTACAAGCATTTAGAGTTTATATGTACATTCTGCTCACTTTGTGTTTTTGGTGGTAGTAGGTTGTCGGTGTAGACCAGGGGTGCCCAACTCCAGTCCTGAACAACTTACTGTGTACTGATCATTGTTAGAAAACATCATTTCGGAGTCTTGTCAAAAGTCATAAATCTAAATGTGTGGCAACACACACGAGAAGGTAAGAGCGTTTTATTTGTTTGCACAGGTCACTTCAGGGGTCCTTAAACTTGACTTAGTCCCTGATCCTGACAGTGTGTCCATTACAGTTTGTATCTTCTTTGTTAAAATGTGGTTTGTGCGGTTTCAGAAGAACACGGTTTGTATGAGAGGACACAAGTACATCTTCCAAAGTAAGCATGGTCACCAAGTCCAGTAGGAGGTCAATGTTAAAGTTGGGGGCACAATAAACAGTGCTTTACTTATATTTATACAGTATTACCTATTTAATTCTTTTCTTAAATTCACAACACAAAAGAGGAGTGAGGTGAGATGTTGTCACCTGCTTATACTCCCGATTCACACTCCATTTCTATAGCCTGTGAAGTAGAAGCCTCCAGAATCAGCAGGAATGTATACTGCATGACAGATGTGATGTCTATATTATGGGATAGAATACCGATTCTTTTTGTAAAATTGAACATGAAACCATCTTATTTTTGGTTAACTATGACTATTAACTATCAGTCTCCTAGATGCTGTGTACACGTAACAGTCTTCATTTTCATTTCATTTTGTTGGATTTAAACTCAAATACAAAAGTCTGCTCAGTGTGTTCCTTATAATTCTTAGAAAAGGTTTTGGCAACAATTGTGTCCAGTTGTGTGACAAATATTTCAAAGATGTTTCAGAGAACTGTTAATGAGACCAGACTGTAAATACATGTAATTTATTTTACTTGTACTTTAATCATTTAGTGAGATTGTTGTAAATTTTTTTGTTATATATTGAGTTATCCTGTTATCTAGTGAACCTTATGTAAAGGTAATGCTAAAGACAACAGAGAATGGCTGGCAGTATCTCCCTGGGATATGCGCTTCACTCTTCTTATGACCATATATGGCTTTTGTGGTTGATGCCAGTATCTCCCTGGAATATGCGCTTCACTCTTCTTATGACCATATATGGCTTTTGTGGTTGATGCCAGTATCTCCCTGGGATATGCGCTTCACTCTTCTTATGACCATATATGGCTTTTGTGGTTGATGCCAGTATCTCCCTGGGATATGCGCTTCACTCTTCTTATGACCATATATGGCTTTTGTGGTTGATGCCAGTATCTCCCTGGGATATGCGCTTCACTCTTCTTATGACCATATATGGCTTTTGTGGTTAGTTCTGGAGAAGGTGGTGACTCTCATGCCCCAAGTGTTGGACAGTGTGTGTACATGAATGACCTGTGATGGAACAGAATCTTGTCTGGGATATACCTCACTTTGTAATCCACCCTATTTGGAACAGGTTTAAGATCACACTGTCCCCAAACTGGAAAAGCCACCGTTATGGAAAACTATTAAATATATACATTGGCCTATAACTACAGTGACCACTTCCTGTCTTCAAAATTTAATAAATAAAATAAATAAAATATTCCTTCAGAGGAAAAACAAACCCATTTGAGATTTGTCTGCATACTGGAGATGGGAAGGCGGGTAATAATGAAGCGCACAGCTGGAGGAGTTTGGGTCCTGCAAGGAGCTGCAGCGCTGAAGTGAACTTGTCATCAATTCAGAAAGCAGAAGTGGATCATACTGTTAAAGGAAATATTACACTTCTGGTGATATAAAAAAGTGAGTATTTATGTATCTATTTAGTTTGTTGAAACTGAAAAATTCAGAAATCAGGTGCCAAACGCAGTCAGTCCTAGATTCAGATTCCTTGTTAAGAGCAAATCTATTATTGCAGGGAGACATGGTGTCTGTGAAACAGCTTCTTTTATTTTGTTTTATATATTGTTTTATTTGTTTTATCTCAAACAGTGGAGTAGCTAAACCTCCATGAAAGAAGTGCACAAATTTATATCAGCTAAACAAATCAATTTAAAGAATAGAATTAGTCAAACAATACTGTGATGATATTACTTGTAACATCACAATAATTATTATGGTCTGAAGACACCATACTTGAGAAACTGTGATAGAAAATCCTTCAGCATAAGTAAAATGAAACAAAAATGTAACATAAAAAACTACTTGTATTTCTAAACAAACTGTAAAATAGCATTCTACTATGAATATGAGCTCTGATCACATCATGTTATGTTGCAAATTCTTGTCACTGGGATTTTTAATACAGCACCGTTCGTAACTGTAGTGGCATCATTTCACCTGTAAAAAGTAATGGACAGATTTAGTTATAATATAAGAATACTTTCAATGTATAAAAAATGTGTATAGGTGATTTATTAATCCAGAAGGAAATGGCAGGGAGTGACTCATTTTTATAATTTTGTAATAACATACAGAATGAGCTGATAGAGGGGTGGCCTGCCTTAAATCTTTTCCCCTAAATTCTGCAGGTGATACTCTGGCTCCTACCTTTACAAAAGTGACACAGATGCTGTAGACCACAGAGACGAGGAAGAGGATGATGAAGGTCAGTGCAGTGTTCCAGATTTCTGTCAGATTATCCTCTTGTGCTGTATCATTTGAGATGTTATTAATATTTTCATCTTCTTCATTTATTGCTTCAAGGGTGTTGAGGTCTGTTGTATGGGGAGACATTGGCAAGGTTAGATTCATGCTTTTTCCAGCGAACACCAACTTTCTGTGGCGCGTGGCTCATTTTGGTGAATTTATCTTGCTACTGAATCCTTGCCTGCACAAAAAAAAACCCTCCTTAATGGTTACATGGCATACTGACCTTTCATAATGTGTTTTAATGAAGTAACTGAAAGCATTATGACTTGAAATTGTTATCTGTCACTCAACTAGTGCTTCTTACCAGATACATCCTCAACTCTACCTTGAACAATATGCATGATTTATCAAAGTACTGCAAATTAATTGTTTATTTATCTAGTGCTCAACATTTCTTTTACCATTCTTGTTGCTAATAGTGTGCTTGATTGGCTCCTTAGACGACTCGTGTTTGACCACACAGGAGTAGTGGCCATCATTCCTGTCTGACTGTGGGATATGCAGCTTGCTGTGCATTGAGTAGCCACCATCATCTCCCCTGCCAGCAACCCCGAAAACAGCGCTGTTGGAGTACTGGGATTCAGACAGCTTCAACCCATCCAACTCCCAGTACACGTCAATGTCGGCAGGGAAGAAGTCCAGTATTAGACAGAGCAGGGTGGTGATGCGCTGTTTGTCAAGTGTGCCTTTAGATGGTCTGATGATCTGAAGAGTGGGCTGTTTGGGATCTAATGAAAGATAGAAAAATCATTGGTTTTATGTCAGTGTTTTTTATTTATCAGTTTACATATTGCAGTTTGCTAGCGTGCTTTGAAAAAATTCTGTGAAATTTGTCAGCGTTGAATTCAGGCATCAACATAAACAGAAGATATCCTTGTTATATTTATTTCCTATTCCTCAATTATTTATTATTTTTTAGCATTTTTGAAAAGCATAAATTTTGCTTATGTCAGGATCTGTCCTTGCCATGTCCGTCATGTCCCTATTTGGCCAGCAGATGTCGCTGGCCATCCCATTCTTCCCTGTATTCCTTGCAACGTCTAGCTCTAGTGTGTAGTTAATTAGTGAATGATTCTCACCCGTCCCTCGTCTAGTATTCATTACCTGTGTCTATGTTAATTCGTCTCTGTCCTCTTACTCTGGAGGTCATTGTGTGTTTGTTTTCTGCATGTTGCTTGTAGGTTTTGCATGTGTTTCATACCCCTCTAAATGTTCTGTGCTCCTGTTTCCTTGCAGTGATTTCTAGCCCCGATTGATCCTTGTCCCACCTGCCTGCCTTGTTTTTGACCCCTTGTGGTCCCTTTCATCTCTAGTGTTAGTTAAATTCAGTTTAATGTCTCCTTGGTGTCTGACTGTACCTTTGGTTTGTTCAAGTTGCAACTCCCGTATGCTGGAGGAGCAGGTGTGCTTGACATGGCAGGAAATGTTGGGCTTTTTCTCCCAGTTCTGCCGCTTCACAATCAGCGCACTAGTGAGAGTTTGGGTGCCGTTGCCATTGTCTTGCTTTGTTGTCTGCCTAGAGTAGATATTGCCATTCATTTTCCAGGTAATGGAAAAGGCCTCAGCCCCGCAGGCTTGCACATGGCAGGTGACTTGAAGGTCTCCTGAACCCAGCTTTTCTGTCAGTGAAGGTCCCACAATGAACATGGTGGCAGTCTGAGAAGATGGTGGGGACTCTGGGAGGTCAGCAAAACAAAGAGCAATCAGGCAACTTCGATTCAACCAACATTGGCACAACTGATATAGTAACTGACGAATTGACAATAGTGTATTTCATCATCAATGCACTGAGATTTTGGGGCAGGAGATGGAGTAGTAATCTGAACGGTGAGAGAGTCAGTAAAAGCTATAGTATGTTAACCTTACAATGGCTGAATTAAGCTGATATTTAGTGGCTCCATTAGATATGTAATAGTATAAATAGTTAAAGGTATTACATCATGATAAAGCGATTCAGTCAAAATGCATAATATAAATTGAAAAAAAATCAGAAGTGAAGTTCTTTGGAATACTAGGGGAAAAGTTATACAGCCATGGGGAATTAAACACTGAGCCTAACAAATGAAAAAAAAAAAAAAAAAGCATTCTTATAAATTACATAAAAAGTCAAATAAACTTAGAATAAATTTAAAATCTATACAAAATACTTAATTTTCAGAAACTTTATGTCCCAAGAATTTTATTTTGCAGTGAAATACCTGTGCATTTACTAATATTCTGCTGAACAGCAACCCTAGCAAGCTGGTCTTCGACCTGACAGGTGAAGATTTCCCCTTTATTCCATTCATCTTTCTGAACATTCATCTCACTGCTAACGGTCAGCTGTCCGTCATTATGCATCGTCGTGACCGAAGATTCTTTTACCACAGATCCTTTTAGCCACTTGATCTGAGGGTTCACCCCAGTGCCCAGGCACAGCAGAGTCATGTCCCCTGCATCTGGTTCTTTGGGAACCAGGAAGAGCTTCACTGTAGGCACAGCTGGAAGAGAAGAAGACAATAATGAACTGTGCATGTTGCTTGTTTTGTTTTCAAATGAAATTTTGGTTCACTCTTCATTTTGCTCGCAGCGCAAGCACACGTTTATGATGGAATGCTGACTTACTTGAACGAGGTATGTTTATAGTCTTCTCTAAGGGATTATAACATTGATGTTTGGCTTTGCAAGTAATCTTTTCACTTTCCCGCCATTTTTCAGTGCGATAAGAAAGGTTGCAGGTAATTTTTTTAGGTCCACTGCCAGCTGGAACTTCCGTGGTAGATTTCAAAGCACCATCCACAAGTAATGATAAAGTGGTACCGTAAGGTCCAACAGCGGTACAGTCAGCAGCCATGTGTGTCTGATTTTCTCTCTCTAGAGTGAGTTTCTCCAAATACATGGAAGATGAAGAACTGGGATAAGCTGAAACATGACAGAAACTGAAATCAACTCATCTACTAAACATTAATCGTTTCAACTAGAGAGCTGCACCGGGATGATGTTTATCCCCATCCATCCCTACGAACATC